GGGAACGGGAGTTGGGGCTTACCACCAGGGAAAAGGTAAAAAGAGCTCTTTTGAAGTATGGCATTCCGCTGGCATTTGCGGTCGCTATTAGCACCGTAGTAGGAGTAATCTTGTCCGCGCTTAAGGCTACGGGCGCAGGCGTAAAGAAATTAGGCAATGGGCTAACGGACTTGGGGAAAAAAATGGCAGCCGGTCTTCCTGGGCTGCTTGGTAGTGTTCTTGGCCTGGCACTTAGGGCCGGCGGAGAACTGTTAAAGTTTGTGGGGAACAACATCTGGATCTTGGTCGTCGCTATTGGGGTGGCCCTCCTGAAGAAGATGCGGGGTTGATCTTTATGTATTACCGAGGGCTTGTCGTCGAGCTCCTTAAATATCCTGCTTTGAGGATAAGTAGGGGCAGTGTTGGCCCCCGGGTTAATAATTTGGTACTAGGGGTATGGCAGTCATAGTAGAAATAGGCTTATGATTCCAAGTAACGTTGGAGGCAGCGGTACCGCCGACGTAATTTATCCTAGTACCGCCATCATCAGAAAGGGGTTGCAGCCGAGCATACTTGCAATTGACTAACATGTGAAAAGTTACCGGCGTTAGGTCTTCACCTGATATCGTGTAGGGCTCCATCGAAAAATGGGTAACTCTCCTAGTGTTCGTCGAAGTTCGGTAAGGAAGCAGGGGCTCGTCATTTTCATCGACGAGCCTAAACCCCACATTTGCACCCGGCCCTGTATTAATGCTAATGGTACAGATAACCAACGCAGCTCCTCCAACTTCAACCAACATGCCGGTGTCTTTCCAAGCAATAGATTCAACATGGTTCTTTTCCTCTAAATAGTAAACGTAATGAGTTTCCTTCTGATGTGGGTTGTTCATATATCTAAAGGCTTAACACCGTAAGAGTGCTAATGGTCATATGGTTATAAGCTGTATCTCTTTGATCCTCTATGCTATTTACCGTGACCTTTCCCGTATCGTCTACTCTTATCTGTAGCTTTACCTTCCCATGGCAATCGGCGACCATATGAAAAGTCCAAACCGATAAATTCTCGGCGCTATTTATCGGCGGCTCTACGGAGAAATGCGCAGGGTCCCTGTTGTTTGTCTTATTTCTCATAGGCTGCAGTATGCCATTCTCATCCAGGAACCTAAAGCCCAGGTTGGCATGGCTGCTCGTACCAATGCAAATGCTGCATATTATCAGCTTCTTTCCTGAGTAGTTCAGGTCCACAGACATTCCGGTGACGTCCACCCAAGATCCCTGGGTGTATTTTTTCTCGCCTGTGTAAGTCGTATAGGCACAATCTACTCCAGCTACGTAGGGGTTGTTCATCGCCATATATAATAACTCAGACCAATGCTTGCGGTGGCTAAGCCGGTTTTTAGTAAGTTATGGTCATATTCCTCAGGTATGGCTGGTAGCGCGGGAATATGCTTCTTAACTACGGGTGGCTTCGTTTCGTGTGACTTTTTTGGCTTCTCTACGAAGTGAGGAATGCCCTTAGTCATGTCAGAGTTCACGTCATTCACCCCAAACTTCATATCCTTAGTAGCTCGCTGCAGCTTGTTCTTATAACCCACAACGGAATTAGCGTTGATAACCAAATTACTTGGCATCAACCAACAACCAGGCGACAAAGCGTAATCTAACCGCACTTTGGATTGCTGCACCGCAAGTTGATACCTTGGAACTGACTTGGATATGTCATTTTCTATTATTGCGGACTCAAAAAGGACAAGGAATTCTTGTTGCGTTTCCCTCGAAGCACCTTGGGAACCAACAATGGGGCTGCGGGTATTTACCTGCGCTGCCAGGGTGCAGTAGACGAATGCTTCAATACTGCGGTTAATTCGAGCTAGGTTTCTTAGACCTTTTCCTTTTAATAATACAAACGGATCGCAAGGACTGGGGTAAATCGTCTCAATCCTATCGATCAGCGTAACGTCATTCTTGCGACCACCCAAGTCGTAAAACTTTAGGACCCCGGGGTATTTTTGATGATACATGTCTGCCGGACGCACGCCGTCAACATGCCATGCATAGATAATGCCCAAGCCATGCGTGGCGCCCTCCCGATAACGAAAGTCTCTTTGCTGCGGCTTGGACTCATTCATTAGCCTTTCTAGGGCAGCGGAATCGTAGTGGTTATCCATTCGATTGAATGGCTTTTCCCCCGGCAGGGGCACGTGCAGCTCCTTCAATATGCGCCGCATAGTAAAGGCAACGTGGAACCTTAGGAAGGCAATGTCAAACATATCCGTGGCAACCCCACAGCCCTTCGTAGCCGCCCAGACGGCAAAGTTTAACTGCTGCGGCCAGTACTTAAAGTTAGGTCCCCTTAACCATTCGTGGGCTTCTTTTCCTGAAGTGTGCGTAAGGTTAAAATCCTTAAAGATATCCCTTATTACTACGTTAAAGGTTTTGCTTACCCACTGGGATCTTCAAGTGCGTCACTATCTTATCAAAGTTGTTTACGCCACCTTCAGCATCGTAAAATGGGTAATCCTGGTTGGTTACTAATGGATTCTTTGGAAAATTAGGCTGTACCTCCTTTGTTATTGACAAAGGCCGCTCGCTTACCTTCTTCATTATTTTTGGTTTCAAATCCTCATTGCTGTACATCCTAGAGCCGTTATAGTAAAT